TTATTTATTATATATATATATATATATATATATATATATATAGAGAGAGAGAGAGAGAGAGAGAGAAAGAGAGAGAGAGTATTGTTTGAATCTTGAATCTCTTTGTTTATGATCGTTACTTCACAATGATCGCATGCACAAAGCTTAAATATTGTTTGAATCTTGAACGTCTTGGTTTATGATTATAGCTTCACAAGGCTTAAATATATTTCTTGTTAATCTGCTCATCACTTACGTGATCTATACATGCAAACATGGTATAAGTTATTGCTATTCGTATCAAAACATTATATATTGGTTTTGGTATATGTTTATCAGCTCATGGAATACGGTTAGACTGCACATGTCATTTGGGTTTTGTGTCTTGTCTGTTTTCTAAACAAAGTCAATCACAGGTACTCAGCCACAATGGTTACAATGGTGCTGCTGCAGATGTTTGGTCTTGTGGGGTCATCCTTTATGTTTTAATGGCGGGATATCGTCCATTTGATGAGACTGATCTTGCAAACTTGTATAGAAAGGTAATTTCCTTCTAATCTAGGAGATTGGTTAATGGTGAGATTCACTATATCATTATATTTTTCTTTGCCCAAGCTTTGTCATATGATGAAGAAACTGCTTATTCTTTTTTACACTGTTATTAAAGTAAACTTGATGTGCATTTTATTATTGGTTATGGAATACTTGTTTCTGAGGCTATGTTTTATACCTTTTTGAGGCTATGTTTCTCACCCAGGATCTTAGCATGTTTGATGTAGATTCCTCATCTGTTTTAACTTGGGAAAAAATTTGCACAGCGGTCTACTATGATCAGTATTCAAAAAATTAAAACTTGAGTTAGGCCCATACTGAGAGAAATCGGCTCATTGTGTCAACTCCCCAATTTTTTACATTTTTGCATAGGGAAAACCTACGATAGGTAATTTATGAGAAATAGAGAGAAAAATCTTTTAGATGTTTTAAACTTGAATTTGAAGTTTGGAATCCTAGAAAATGAGAGTCAGACAAGTCAAATGAGTTTTTCATCCACTTGAAACTCGGTTAAGTTGATGAAAATCTTGGTCCTTATATCACCATTTTAGTTTTTTAGCTTGGAAGCCAAGTTTTTCTGCGTGTTTGTCAAGGTGAAGGTTAGATAAGTAAAATGCAGGGAAACAACTGCAATGATGTTCTCATTTATCCGTGTACCTGGCCTTCTAGAAAAAGAAAAGTTCAACTGAGTCCCTAAATCGGACAGATGAATACAATGTTGTAGTCAATGACAAAGAATGCACCAAATCTAATGGCTCCTACAGTTTAATCTTAAACTAGGGATCTTGTATACAGATCTATGCATAAGTCACAAAGAAATGAAAATGAAAATACGAAGTTATTTCATATTCTAAATAACAAGCAACACACTCAATTTCAGTCATAATTCTAATCAATGATTTACACTGAGTTAGAAGTGAATTTCAACAGGGTTAATCTAATGAACAAATTGTAAGGGGTTGTTGATTCAGCACTATTTAATTTCAATTATGGCTGCATAGTTGGGATGTAAGGGGTGCTTAAATACAAATCAACCTTAATTATGGAAATGAGGTTGAAATTTCTTAATTTCGGTTATGTAGTTGATATCTCTTGCAAACTTCATTCACCTAGGGGTGGCCGGGGGCTAGCCCGAACCTGGGCATGGCCCAATTTTTTCATAAGCTCATAAAATCAACATTTTCTTACATCTATAAAAGGCCCAACCTGGCCTGGCCCGATTTTTTAGGTTCAGGCCTCGTAGGCAAGATTTTGGCCCAGGTTCGGGCCCGTCTTACATGTTGTTGTGATGGATTTGGGCCTGGTTTTACCCGGCCCGCTAATAGCCCTAATCTCAAGATAGAAGGTCATTATCATGCACAAACCACCTGTTGATGGCAGCTTTCCTTGTTATGTGCGCGGTTAATCTTTTTCTTTTTTTTTGGTATCTTTCCAAATCCAAATATGGAAGAAATGAAAAAGTGCATCGTGTATCTTATGTTAATTGTTGGGTAATTTAATCATGCTGTTGATCTTTTTTGCAGATCAATGTTGCAGATTTTTCTTGTCCATCTTGGTTCTCTGCTGGAGCTAGGTCCTTGATACATAGAATTTTGGATCCAGATCCTGAAAGTGTTAGTACTTATACCCCAATTCTTTATCTGTGTGTGTCCTTCATTGCTTGTTTCTCTGTGTTTGTAAGCTTTAAGAAAACCAGATTGTTGGATGAACATGCAGATTTATGAGCCCTTCTCCAAGATAGATGCATATCTGTCTTTTTCTTTTCCTTTTTACCTTTCCTTTTATAACCTCAACTACAGTTATAGTTCTAGCCGATGGTGCAGGGATACTTCAAATGGGTTCTGTATCATACTTAAGCACATGTGAAATTGCAATAAAATGATGTTATATCTGTGATGATGTAGTTACCATGCATCACAGGTTATAGCTTGGATGTTTGGTAGATTGAGAACTAAGTTAGGAAATGTATGTTCACACCTTTCTGGCTGCTTTTGGCACTTCATAGCTTGCGTTCTGTAATTGCTATCTTATTATTATTATTGTTATTATTTTTGGTTACAGCGGATAACTATTCAAGCAATCAGAAATGATCCATGGTTCAGGAAAAATTATGTTCCAGTTAGGCATGGCGGCGAATATGAGGATGTTAATTTGGATGATGTGCATGCTGTTTTCAATGATATCGAGGTATTTAGCTACTTATCTTTAGTTTTCTGTACTAGTTATAGTCAAGATCCAAAGAAGCTAGCATTCTGTAAGAGTATAAGTGTGAGGCTGCAGTGGTGTCACTTGGCTGCAGACTGTCATAGCTAAACACTACTGAGGCATACTTGTGGAACCTCCTAAGAGGGCACAATATACTAGTTCGACTTGTTTCTGCATTATGCCATCGAATGGTTTTCCGTAAACCAATTTGAAATGTGGAATCTGCATTCTACGTCTGTTCTGCATATAGTGTTGTTTTATACCAGTCCCATGTCAAGTTTGCTTGTGCTGATCAGGACTTGAGGTTTTGGCAGGATCAATACGTTAGTGAACAGAAGGAAGATAATGACATGGGCCCATTGATTATGAATGCTTTTGAGATGATTACTCTCTCTCAAGGATTGAACCTTTCAGCCCTATTTGATAGGCGACAGGTACAACTTATGAATCTAGCCAACTTAAGAATTTACCATGTCTGCTTTTGTGTGCACCCCTCCTCTTTAATTCCTTTACACAACGTGGAAATTTATTTCTTCACTCATTTATATCAACTATAAATGGAGTTGAAGCTTCTTTGCTCATTTGTGAAAGACTCAGTATTGGCAATACTTTCTATATCTGTAGTAATTTGTCAATTGATTGCTTGGTAATGGTTTTATTTCTTCAACATCAACTATAAAGCTTCTTTGCACATTTGTGAAAGGCATTGGCATTACTCACTATATCTGTAGTAATCTGTCAACTGGCTGCAGTCCTCAACACTTTAACCAGTCATGCTGAAGCCTGAATCCTAACTTGGCAAGTTTTCTTGTTATTTGCATGAGTTCCAAATACTTTGTAAGAGTACTTTGTGTCTTTGACTTTTTCTTTTCTAAAGTTATTTGATGAGGCAACCTAACATTTATTTTCCCAACCTCCTACATAAGAGACGTACAGAATTACTGTTTCTATAAATGACCTTGTAATAGGATTGTTTTCTTTTATGACATTTGTGTTAATCATTAAAACTTAAGAGGAATCATTATCTTAATTGCTGCTATTATTTTTTATTATTTATTTTATGAAAAGCTAGCTCAGATTGATACTTAATGTGTTAGTTTCCCATAATATTGCATGCATTTCTGTTTCTAGCAACTTTAACACTTGTAATTGACAAATATTTTTCCTTTCTTAGCCTGCTTAGTATTTTCCTTTTTCTTGGCATATGCTTAACGTTTACTGTTTCTTTGCGCCTCCTCATTACAGCACATCTCAACCTTCCATCTTAATGTACAGTTTAACTCAAAACAATGTGAAGGATTACTACATTTCTATGAAGCCTGATATGTTTCTATGTACTTGCTCGTCTTTGATTGATTGCACTATTACTTTTACGAGTTTCTTGGAAGGGCATATGAGTGTTGGCTTATGCCTGTTGTTGTGACATTATTCTGTTTGGTCTTGGAAGGCCCTAGGAATAATTTTACTGAATAGACGACTTCTTTGTTGTCTTCTTTCTTTGGTGATTCTAAGACACTGTCCATGACAGGATTATGTTAAACGACAAACACGGTTCGTTTCTCGAAAACCTGCAAAAGTAATCATATCAACTATGGAAGCTGTTGCGGAATATATGGGTCTTAAAGTCCACTCTCGTAATTACAAGGTATTTTTCATATAGAGAGTGCTCTCTAATCCCATATTGTTCCTTCTACAACAATAGGGTATCCTAGCTCTTTCTAGGTATTGCCCATACACCTTCCTCCATCTTTAAAATTAAGAAACCTCTCTTCTATTTTGAAGATCAATATTGTTTTAATATTTCTTACTTATCTCTCACTCTCTCTATGGAAGCATAAGATCTTTTTATTGAAAATCATTAATTTACAGAACTAAAACAATAACAATACATAGAAAATATTAAAAAGGGTGAAAAGTTAAAATATGCAAAATTTTGAATTTTATCATCCATCTTATTTCCAAAATATGCATTAGTATAAAGAAAAAATAGTTTGCTGTGTCCCTACTTGTGAAGAGGCACATCTGAGAGATTGAGCTTTCCTAGAGGTGGTGATACGAGATATATGCCTGAATTTATCTTTTTGTGTGGTAGTGCATGAAAAAAATGGCTTACCCCATTCTATGATGATGTGTGAAGGGAATGAGAATAAGAAAGTAAAACAAGCTTGCTGGAACGGCTGTCCGAACTTTTTATAGATAATCAACACGTATTATTTGATAATAATTCCTTAGAAAAACTACTGGTGTTTTTTACTTTGGTTTGTGTTATTTGTTCTCTGTCTTGAATTTGTTTTATATGATGGGGCTGCTTGGTGTTAGCTCTGTTCCTCATTCTTCATCCATACATGACCTAACTTTCATAACAAAGAAAAAGGTAGTTAATACATATTCACCTTTTAACACCTCTCTTTGTATTGATAGCTTGCTTCACATGGTTTGCAGATGAGACTTGAAGGAATATCTGCAAATAACACTGGACAGTTTGCAGTTGCACTTGAGGTAGCATACCATTGTGAAATGCTAAAATTTCATTATATTCAAGGTGCCTGATTGAATCAATCTGGATGGTTATCAAAAATTGAGAACCTAATTACTTTTATATGTGCAGGTTTTTGAAGTGGCACCCTCCCTCTTCATGGTGGATGTTCGAAAGGCTGCTGGTGACACTCTTGAGTATCATAAGGTTTGCCTTGCCTGTCCTTGAAACCTCCATTACTATTCATCTTCTGAGTTTTTGTGTGCTAGATGCTTACCTTTTTTTTTAAAAGAAAATTTCTTTTCATGCTCAAGCCTTCAAACTTGGTTGTTTTCTATTCTTAATCCACCGAACAATTACAAGAATAACCAATGTTGATCTAACAAGCAAGAACTCCACTCAAAACATTTAATGTCCGATACATTGGTTAATGGGCAAGCTTTTTGTGTTTCAAAAAATAATGTTTCAAAAAGTAAATATTCTCCAAAAAGAAAGAAAGAGAGAAAAGTAATGTTTTAAGATTGAATAAAGACATGTCCAATTTTTAGAGGGTGAGATCAAAGCAGTAGCGAAGTCAAAATTCAAACTTTCTCTTTTGAAAATATTCATTTAGTGATTTTTAGGTGGTTCCCAACATTTCAGATTGACAAGACCCTCCCAAGTAGGTCTTCTGCCCCAAGGAGTAGGTGTATAATAAATGCTTCAACAGGAGCATGGTATATGTGCTCTATAATTTTTGTATCTTAGTTATAGCGATCTGATTTTTTATTAGATGGCTGGGAGTTAGCTGACAATAATGCCACATTAATTATGGTTTGACTGAAACAATTGACACTAGTCAGTATATTGTTCTTCGCTCACTCTAGCTGTCTAATTAAGATCATACAGTCATTAATTTCTAGTCCCTTATGATGAGACACAAAGATTTGACATTACACTTGTTGACTGGCTAAATGTTGGTAAAATCTATTCTTGCAGTTCTATAAGAACTTCTGTAGCAAGATTGAGCACATCATATGGAAGCCATCGGACTCAACAACAAAATCTGGTTCTCTTAGAACAAGTTGCTGATTTGTTTTGTGATGCAAAACTATACATTACTGTAGGGGGACGGAGAGGGTTTGGTTGGTTGAGATTGTATGGAATATATAATCAATCTATTGATCATATTTATGTATAGCATTTTCTCAAGCTTGTGATTGCATTTCCTTTTGTATTTAAAGCTCGAGGTAAGGTGTACAGGCCCCAGCCTAGAAATAATACATTGTTGTAAGTGTTGTATTTTATAGGGTTCTTGTGTCTTTTTTTTTACCCTTCCATCTTAGTGACCTATCTGCCTTTTTGTATTTCTAGTGGTTCTCACTTGAAATCATTTTATTTTGAATTAATGTCTCATATTGTTTCCCTCATGCCCTAAATGTGTTGCGTGGATTATGTGTGAGCGAATTTCATGAAACCCTTACAATTAGAAACACACTCATGAGAGAGAGAGAGAGAGAGAGAGAGAGAGAGAGAGAGAGAGAGAGATATTATTTATACTATTGTCTACGTAAGTCGTACGTGACGAGGGTACTCGTAGAATAACTACTTACGAAACCGTAAAAGAAGTATGACAGTGAG